ATAAGTCCTCACAGCACTTATAATGTAATCTTCATAATGCTCGTCAAGCATGGTACACAGATCGTAATTTCCAATAATTATTGCATTATGAGTTTTCTCGTTAATTTCAAATGATATTAACACACATTATTTCAATACGCAAGGAAAGTACTATAATGCTCCGCGTCTCGGATTGAAATGAAGAGACGTCTGAAATGTACGAAAGCGACGTTATAACTGCGCTTGCGCTGATCGAATGTAGGAAAGGAATATCAAATATATATACAGAGAAAAAACATATTTGACCCATACAAATAATAACGTTTACTCTAACATTGTGAACAGACACTAGCCAAATATGTTCTGAAATTATAATTTGCATGATTATAGTATCGATAGTAAGGTATTCTATCGTAATTTTGGCACAAGTTCAATACTTTATTTAAATATGTACAATAGCGAATTATAAATTACAATCAAGTGTATGCCGAACTTATGAGATAATTCGTGGGAAGAAATTTGATATAAACGCGTTATGATGTTTATATTGAGATGGCAAGATTGCTCAGTGAATAATTATTATACGATTAATCGAATTTTGTTATTATGGCTATACTATCGACTTATGGCCATATCGAAAGTCTATTTAATTAATCCTTAATTCATATCAATACGCTCTCAGAAATTCTTTTATCATCTTAGTTATCTATAGGACTGTGTTATTATTTATATTTATATATTAAGATATTAAGATATTAAATATAAATAGAACGAATAATTCACATTACAAGACTAATAAAAAATTACAGAAAAACAAATTTTTGATTAAAGCTTTCAGTTATAATTTTCTATATTAATAATATTTTAGATATTACGTGCAATAGTATGTAGTTCCGTTAAAAGCGCAGAAGTTGCTGCTTATGATGCAAAGAAGCATACGACATTGCATAATCGATTGATGACTTATTTGTCTCATCGTTTGAGAAATTTGCCACGGTAAAATTTCGATAATAATATTTCTTTATAGAATATTTTTTTTGAATTTTCTATAATAGATTAATATTATTTAGCTTGTAAGCACATCAATTTTATACTTTGCGATAATCCTTTCCCTCTTTTGATCATCTACATAAAATGAAGAAACAAAGTATAAAACTATACGAAACAAATTATGACATATTTATAGCATACATTCTAAATATAAATATAATAGTACAGATATAATTACAGTCTATTTTAGTTTAAAGTATTTATATCACTGTACGTAGAATAAACATAAAAATATAATTTCGTACTATTATAATATTATTTTATAATATTATTTTTGCTCTTCTATAGAATGTG